ATTAAAAAAAAAATAAAAAAAAAAAAAAAAATTTTTATTTTTAATCCGAACCCGATCGAGAAATTTTGAAGTATCCTCCTGAAAATCATTAGGCATAAAGAAAGAGCGTAATGTGCCTATGATTTCCGGTTCTTTTACGTAAGGAAAGAACCGAGATGGAACCAAAAGCGTAGATTTTATTTCTTATAAATTCACGCTTCTAAATCACATCGAGGACAGCGCGTGACGAAACTGGAATTCTCTCGGCAATCGTCTATCGCGCGCGGATTTTTTTCTGAATCACACGCTTGCGCGATGCACGGCAAACGCACATTATTTCTGCATTAATCGCGGAACGCTGAAAGGCACTCCGCAGGACCTTTGGTCCTTGGTCTTTGCGGAACGTGTTCGCGCGTGTATCCGAGAGTTTCTTCGCGAGGAAGCTTCTCCGCCGTTGATCGTCGATTTTTTTTTTCCCTCGTTCATATCCCGGCGTGTTTAAGATTTCATACGGGCGTACGTCATATCGTTTCGGTATTCGGAATGTAAAATAGTATCGTTCACGCGGAACGTCCCGCGCCTCGGCGAATGTCTCGGAATATGCGAGCGAAACCGACGTCGCAAAAGAGCCGACGTCGTCGGGAAGCGGAATGCATACGCATCATCATTTTTATCCAGTAATACAGGGTTGGGGTTAAGCGGCATTAGATCCTCTTCTTTTTTTTTCCCTTCCCGCGCGGTCTCGAAAGTGCGGTCGTGAGAAATACGCCGTTTTGCCCGTCGCCGTTATTCATATTCCTCTCCGCGCGTTACTCTCGATTCCGCGAATATTTCGAGTAAACAAACGTTCGATTAAAACCGTCGTGCCGTGTTCGTTATCGGGAAAAACGATACTCGCAGCCGATTAATCGGATATCGCGCCAACGGCATATCGGGACCGTTATTCTCATCTAACGAATATCGCCGGGACAAACACTCTCGGGGAGGAGGAAAGAGATTGTGGTGAAGAAAAACCATCGAGCTCGGTGAACACGTTTAAATGAGGGGTAATGGGTCGAATTACCGATTATAACGGTACGTAATTGCGAGGTCGAGTAATCGATAATAATCTCCGATTAGTGTAACGTCGATTACCGAGAATATCGTCGATTAAGCTCCAGGAACTCTCCGGAAAATGGAGAACAAGGTATAACTTTCGATGGGGATTCGCTCTGATCTCCGTATCGGTCGCGTGTAGGAGGAAACGAGATTTACATTTAATCTCTCCTAAAAAAGAAGGGGGGAGAGAGGGGAAAAAAGGAAAACTATTTGCTTTCCCCATCTTCTTATTTTTTTTCCCCATCGCAACGTAATTCAACTCCCCGAAACGTCGTCGTTCTCGATCGTCGATTGAGAGCCACCAACCACCAATAGCGGGTTATTGGATTACAGCTCCAATTGGCGAACATTTTCCCGTAACCGCAGCGTCAGCGATGGAGCTCTCCGAGATCCCGTCGCTCTCTCCGTATCGGCGATTGAGCGCCACTGACGGCGGTTATTGGGTTACAGTTTCACGCTCACGGTGGTCTGTCACCTTCGAGCTCGCGCGAGCGAGTATGAGAGAAGGCCGCCCGATGATCCCCGTAGATGGTCCGATTTGATGGTCCATCAAATACTATTTTCCATAACGTCGACAAAAAATTAATGAAAAGTCAAATTCTCCGATCACCGCTGCGTTTTATCATTAACGAGCTGTAAATTGATTCGTCGTGAATAATGTATCCCTTGAATTTTATTACTACAGAGTTGGTGGCCTTATTCACGGATCTAGCATAAGAATTAGTACGAGGAAAATACAAAGGAAAATGAAAAAAGTAGAACCGAAGGATTGAAAAATTTTACACATATATATATATATAGAGCAACATAAACCGCATGTGATTATTTTATTTATGTGTGATAAATGTGACAATGTAACAAAGATAGCTTAGGACATAAATATCCGTCACAAGCTGGACACGTCAGCAAAATGCGTTAGAAAGCCGAATTAGAAATAATATTGTCAATATTCATCAATCTACATCATTTATTATTAGCTTACAAATATGGTTAACGAAGGTAGGCAAATGTATTAATAATTTTTGATGATAAATTTAATATATCGTTCTTTCAAGATGCACATTCTTTGTTTAGTTTCTATTTTTTAAATTTTAATATAATTGATAAATTTCTGGATATTTATAAGTAGATCATTTCTAATTCACATTTGAAAAAGTACTTCTAAAAATGGAATAAATCTATCTAACAAAAGATTGTAAAATATAGAAAAAAATAACAGATCCATAGTGGAACAGATTCTTTTCTTTTTGCATTTTACACGGAAAAAAAAAGTTTTAAATCAAGGCAAATATTCTCATATAAAAGCAAGAATATTATAATTTTTTAAAAAATTTTAGACGGATTTTATTGAATTTTTGGATTTTATTGATACAAGTATTACCTTCGTTCAACTCAAGACTGAAAATCTTTTATATGAAGATAATTATAATATTCTTGCTTATATACGAAAATATATAGTCTTGGTTTAAGACTAATTTTTTTTCTGTGTATTTTATTTCCCTTTACTCTCCCACGACCTCCGTGTGTTTTCCAAGTTCAGGGACTGTCACACATTTCTACGACCTGCGCTTCGCCGATCAAAATGCCAACAGCTTTTCCCAGGAAAGAAACGAAGAGAAAAAGAATAAAAAGGAAAAAAAAAAGGAAGAGAGGAAAGCGTGATTCGGCGCTGCGATGCCCGCAATGCGCGCTCGGAAAGAAAATAAACTATTCGGCGTGCTGCACCATTTGATTTACGAGTACAAGCGACAACCTACCGCACGGGATACTGAAATAGACCGAGGGAACTATTACGATTTGAGTATACGGGGTAAATTCATCGCGGGTGCGCGAGATCACCGCACCTTGCAGCCGATGCACCGGGTGTTTGGTATAAATACATCCATATGTGTGCATATCGTGTTTGCATATCGATCACCATGATGTGATCGTAAACCATGAATTTATAATTCGAAATGATGCCAAAAGTGCTAAAATGTAGTATTACATACAATTTAAAAAATTAAAAAAAACAAATCAGAGAAGGCGTTACTTGATGGATTAGATCTTAGGTGTCTTATTTAATTTTCCTCTTTATTGAATTTATACCTATAAATTCGGAACAATTGCTTATGTTGCAAACTGCGGGTCGTTATCTTTGACAAACTTAATCACAGCAGTTCAAAACTAATTTGTAACTCCTATTCGGACTAAAGCAACAAATTAGAACATAAATAGCTCTAAATTTTTTTTATAAAAAAAAAATTTTTTTTGCAAATTTAATTTGCGATGGTGAAGATTCCAGCTTAAAAGCGGCAAATTTATTCCTCTTAATAAATCCTTAATTAAAAAATTCATTAATTAAAAATTAAAAAATTCATTAAATTGATACAAAGATATACGTTATCCGCAGGAAAATTTCCCATTTTTTTGCAATCTTTATTTAAGCGATATAGCTAAAGTTACGAGTAACACTTATTTGCAATTTTTATTTCTCCAAGCTAAGAAATAGGCATCATCAGCATCATTTGATCAAACGGTGTATGCCACGTTTCATACACATTTATAAATTTTGCGACTGAAATTGCGATATAGGTGGAGAAGTTGTCTGTTATCGTTGACGAGTTTATATGTATCATACAAGTGCAGACAAGATTTGTTATCAATTCTAAATATTTGTTTCCGTTCGCGATCGTCGCAAAAATTGTTTCGCAGTTGACACGGTCGTTAGTAGCGAGATATCGGCAAGATAGAGCAGCCGTGACTTTTCACGTCTGTGCAGCTTTTCCGTAGACGAGCCGAGGTACTTTTCTGCTTGTGCAACGGTGCAAGCAGCTGATAGCATTATCTGTTCGTTACGCAACAAACAAACGTTGACGTCGGAAAAATGCGGAAAAACGCATTAGAGAGAAACAGAATGTATACGTGATGATGTATACCTTATCCTTGTCGAGATTACAAAAACCATTGTCAAACGTAATACAATAAACGTGA